AGACAAAAGTGAGGAAAATGTCATATTAACCCATTTGCGCTGGGTGTCACGTATATGTGACAGGCCCACTGTGAGTTTACTTGTTTGATTGTTTTCACACATAGATGGCTACACTTGTACTTATATGCCTGTCTCGCCTGTTTACTCTTTTCTCTAATTTACGAAAATAATTAACGTTATCTTATTTTGTTGTTACTAATGTTTATAAAATTATTGTTATTATAATATTTATGATAAAAATAACCATCGATATTCATAGCACTAGTAAAAATACATTTTCCCGCCAAATGAAATCAGGTAAGGCAGAGCCATCTAGTGTAGAGACATTTCACAAAAAAATATAAAAAATGAGCACAGCATTTTCCCCATTTTTTGTTCATTTTTACCTGGCGCGAATGGGTTAACCCTGTCCTGTACTCGTGGCTGTAGCATAAAGGATTGTTTACATAATGCAGCTAAAAGAGGCTTTAAGCCTACTTTTGAGGAAGTGGGGACTGAGGTTCTATGTTGGGGGTTACCCCCACCTTGAGCATCAGCCCTTGGCTCACTCAATTTTGAATGATTTTTTCTTTTCCTCCCTTTTATTTTCCATCTCTTATCCAATCCCTTCTGCCCACTTCCTAAGATATAAGAGCAGTGCTGAAAGGATGAAAAACTGGCATTGTGTCAGTCCTGAATGGCATGGGGAGCCATAGACATAGTATTTCTTTGGCTAATTGTCTAGCCCTTACCCATATAGTAGATCATTTCTCTTCCCTGTATACTGCAGGCCTATCATGGCCAAAAATGTAGTTTTTGTATGCTTTTTTAGGGCCGCTGAGTGTTGCCCCCTTTATCAACTAGCCTACCACTGCTGCTACTCCCCCTTGATGTGCCTGCTGTCAACTTGATCCATTCTTAATCATCCATCCAGGTCATTACACAACCTTCAGAGTACATCCCATTCTCTATCCAAAATCTTCCACTCCATCTCCTGCACAGTCTTCTTCATCTTCTGAAGCCCCTCCTTCCTTAATTTCTGCTATTCATCTTTATTATAATCCCCTCCACAGTATTACCTCTCCCACACCACTCCCTCTTAATCCTTTCCTAGTCCTTCTACTGCTTCCACCTCTCAAACCATATGAATACTCATTTTAGTCCAGCCAAAAAAGATCAGTTCTTTGTGATTCCCCCTACATCTTACTCTGAAAATACCCTTCTCCACTAACAATGTCTCCAAAACAAGTAGGTAAAATTTTCTTCTGCAGCCGTTCTGATTGTTCACAGTTGCATCTGAGTCCCAAGTTCATATACTATCTACCTTGACTGCCACTGGCAGACCTATTCCAGCCCAGCCTCACTCCTCTTTTAACCCAATGGCGCCGGGTGTACAAAAGAAAAAAAAACCTCTACGCTTAAACAAACAAAGGCGGCGCGCCGACTTTGAGCGCGTGAGTAGGGGACATCAGCCCGAATCACTGGCTCGCCACCGGCTCGTTCGGCTGCACGCCAGCTTTCGAGCTCTTTGTTTACACGCCGATCGGCGTCACCCGGCACCAAGGGGTTAATACTCGCACCAGAACTGTTTCCATCTACCCAGCTGATTGCCTTGTCTACAACAAGGTTTGGTCAGACTGTGGAAAAGACCTGCTTGCCTGCCACATTTACTATGATGCAGTGTCAGTACAGTGCTACACTTTTCCTATCAGAGGCTGCTGTAAATTTTATGCCAATATTGCCATATCATTTACTAAGCCTACCTTCAGTTGACATGACCTGCCACATGAAATTTATATTGGCAGAGAGTCATGGTTTGTCTGCCGCAGTGCCATTACAGTTCTACAACATCCCCCGTATATCCCCCCACAAATATTGCCAAAATTACTTTCTGTAGACATGACCTTCCCTTCTATGTTTACATTGGCAGAGAGTCCCTCCCTGTCCGATCATATTAACCTTCCCCTCTCAGGGTTAGAATTGTTGGCTTCTAGGCCATCCTGCCATTCCACAGCCCAATGCCTTCTCTGTGCCCAATCTGGTCATAATTGATCAAATTGTTCTGCACAGTCAAGCAAATGTGCCAATTGTGGCAGCTCCCATTATGTATTTTATAGAGGCTGCCCTACCTACAAGTTTGAATCTGAAGTGGCAAGTCTCTGATACAAACTTGGCCTTACTTTACTCAAAGCCAGACAGGAAGGACATCCACAAAGTTTCTCTCTCATTCCTTACTTCAATAATTGCTCTGTTCCTCCCATTTCCTCCCAAGATGTTTCTATATCTCCCCCAGCATCTCTTCCCACTTCTACCCCCTACCTCAAATTCTTTTGCCAGTTACTACTTTCCCAGTACCTACCTCTCTTTCTCCTTGCCGAACTCATCGCACAAGACAAGGTAAAACACTCCATCCTTTCCATTAACCTCTCCCTCCAATCGTCATACATCTATCCCCTCTTCTCCCCCCAAAAGAAAACCTTTGTTTCTCAGACCTCCCCAACCAACTCCACTGCAGAAAATC